TTCCACTTTCTAAGTCCATAGTTATTTCTCATGGATTTTTGTCATCAGTTTATCTCATGGGTTAAGTCCCTTTTTACAGAGAAACAGGACCTGGATTTCTGTTCACCTGCCCAAGGAGACAGGGAACTGCTAACATGTGTTAGCCCACCTTCTAACAGAGCCATTGTTCTTTATTAACAACCCATCACCCTAAATGAGCATGTCAGTGGTTTGAACTCATCAGTCACTCCTCAGAAACCCTATACAGAGTCACCATGAGTGGGAAACAACTCGAGGGCGCTTACCACCACCACCAACAACCCTAAACAAGATACACCTGGCTTGCTTCTAGTTCTAAAGGCAAGCAATCTGCTTTTAGAGCTAGCGCCATGAAGAGATACCGTCTCCCATCTTGTAGTCTTCCCTTCAGCTTCCTCCTCTTTATCAGTTTTCACAGAGGTGACTTCCTAGACAGAAATGAACTGGAATTTAACACGAAGTGATGAAAGCATATCTTTCTCTTTCTTTTGTTTAGTTGCACTAGTGAGTATTTGAGAGGAAGCTAAACCCAGTTTTGATGACAGGTGGAAGGTGGTAACTGAGCAAACGTCAATGCATTTGTTTGAAATCACTTGTCGAAATGAAGTCTTTATTTAGTTGCATGGGTCTGAAAGCTCCAAGTACACACATTTGTTCTGAGAGAATGACAGCAGTTTTCCAAATTAACATTGAAAATATTGACCCTACAGAAGACATCTGGGTTGCTGTAACAGAGTAGCTTGAGGGCTATGTCACTGCATTAAACCCAACCGAGGAAGGAAGAGAAGGCTGATGTGATGTGGTCATAGCTCAGAAGTGAGGTCACTTGCTAATTGGAGTTCAGAAGAACTTTGATGCAAAGGTGTCTCCAGGGGAGAGTCAGCATCCCTTTGCCCAAACAAGTCTTCGTATCAGGGCAGGAAATGTGTTGTGTAGTCTCTCTCAGCTTGCTGAGATTGGCCTGAGTCTAATAGGGCTTTAATGTCTTTTGAGTGATATAATGATTAACTGACATTTCAAAATCTAAAAAGATCACATTCGCAGCCCCTCTCACTGTCTCAAAGGGGGAAACCATAAAGTGCAAACCTTGAATTTTACCAAGAACTCAGAGAATGATCAAGTCAGAGGGGATCTATTGTTGCTGTTGGGTGCCATTGAGTCCCTTCTGATCCATAGAGACCCTGTGCACAGTATAACAACACACGCCCCAGCCCTGCTCCATTCTCACAATTGTTACAGTTGAGCCCATTACTGCTCCCACTGCGCCAAATTTCACTGGGGGTGGGGGTCGTCCTTTTTTTCACTGACCTTCCACTTTACCAAGCATGATGTCCTTCTCCAGGGATTGGTCCCTCCTGATGATATGTCTAGAGTATGAGAGATGAAGTCTGGCCATCCTGATTTCTAAGAAGCTCTGAGGCTATATTTCTGGCAATGGGCTTCGATACCTTCAGTCTTCTCCAACACCACAACTCAAACGCATCAATTCTTCTATGATTTTCCTTATTCATTGTCCAACTTACATGTATATGAGGCTATTGAAAATACCATGGCTTCGGTCAGGTGCACCTTAGTCCTCAAACTGATATCTTTGCTCTTGAACACTTTAAAGAGGTCTTGTGCAGCAGATTTGCCTAAAGGAATACGATATTTGATTTCTTTGCTGCTGCTTCCATGAGTGTTGATTGTGGATCCAAGCAAATGAAGTCTTTGGCAACTGTAGTCTTTTCTCCATTTATCATGATGTTGTTTCTTGGTCCCAGTGGTGAGGAGTTTTGTTTTCTTTACATTGAGGTGCAACCCATACTGAAAGCTGTGGTCGTTGATCTTCATCAATAAGTATTTTAAGTCCTCTTTACTTTCAGCAATCAATAAGTTGTTAATGAGTCTTCCTCCAACCCAGTGATCTAAGTGTTGTTGTTGTTGTTGTTGTTGTTGTTGTTGCTAGGTGCCATCAAGTCGGTACTGACTCATAGCAACCTTATGCACAACACAATGAAACAGTGGTCAAACCCAAGCCCCTCACAAATGTTGCTACACTTGAGCCCATTGCTGCTGCCACTATACTATTCCATCTCATTGGGAGTCTTCCTCTTTTTCACTGACCCTCCACTTAACCAAGCATGATGTCCTTCTCCAGGAACTAGTCACTCCTGATAATATGTCCAAAGTATAACAGGTGAAGTCTGGTCATCTTGGCTTCTAAGGAGCAGTTTGGCTGTTCTTCTACCTACACAGATTTGTTTGTTCTCTTGGAAGTCCACAGTACTTTTAATATTCTCCTCCAACACTGTAACTGAAACGCATCAATTTTTCTACAGTCTTCTTTATTAATTTATTCCAACTTTCACATGCATATGAGGTTACTGAAAATACCATGACTTTGGTCAGGTGCACCTTAGTCCTCAAACTGACATCTTTGCTCTTGAACATTTTAAGGAGGTCTTGTGCAGCAGATTTGCCCAATTCAATACATCATTTGATTTCTTGACAGATGCTTCATTGACTGTTAATGGTTGATCTGAGCAAAATGAGGTCTTTGACAACTTCCATCTTTTCTCCATTTATCATAATGTGATTTATTAGTCCAGCAGTAAGGATTTTTTTTGTTGTTTACACTGAGATGCAACCCATACTGAAGTTTATGGTCTTTGATCTTCATCAGTATTTCAAGTTCTCTTCACTTTAAGCCATCAAGGTTGTATCATCTGCATAGCACAGGTTGTTAATAAGTCTTCCTCCAATCCTGATGCCACATTCTTCTCCATATAATCCAACTTCTTGGATTATGTGTTCAGCATAGATATTGAGTAAGTATAGTGAAATAACACACCCCTGGCACATACCTTTCATAATTTTAAAGCTCTTGCTCAATGTACAGGTTCCTCAGGAGCACAATTAAGTGTTCTGAAATATTCATTCTCCACAGTGTTGTCCATAGCTTGCTATGATCGACACAATCGAAAGCCCTTGTGTAGTCAATAAAGCACAGGTAAACATCTTTCTGGCATTCTCTGCTTTCATTCAAGATCCTACTGACATCAGTAATAATATTCCTTACTCCACACCCTCATCTGAATCAGACTTGAACCTCTGTCAGTTCCCTGTCAATGTACTGTTATAGTTGGTTTTGAATTATTGTTAGCCAAATTTTATTTGCATGTGATATTAATGATTGTTAATTGATTTCTGCATTCCTTCCTTCACCTCTCTTTGGAATGGGCACAAATATGGATCTCTTCAAATCAGTTGGCCAGGTACCTATCTTCCAAATGTCTTGGCATAGATGAGTAAGTACTTCCAGTGCTGGATCAGTTTGTTGAACCATTTCAATTTGGATTCCATCAATTCCCAGAGCCTTGTTCTTTACCAATGCCTTCAGTGCACCTTGAATTATTTCTTCAGTAGCATTGGCTCTTGATCCTATGCTAACTCTTGAAAGAGTTGAACATCAACCGTTTCATTTTTGTTCCGTGACTCTGTGTATTCTTTCCATCTTCTTTTGATGCTTTCTGAATCATTCAATATTTCGTCCATTGTTGCTGTTGTTGTTAAGTGCCATTGAGTCAATTCTGACCCATAGCGACCCTGTGTAGAGTTTCCAAGGACTAGCTGGTGAGTTTGAACCACCAACCTTGCTGTTCAAACTGACTTTGCAACCTGACACATTTGCCCACAGCACCACACCAGGACTCCATTTTGTCCACAGAACCCTTCAGTATTGCAAGTCAAGGCTTAGATTTTTTTCTTCAGTTCCCTCAGCTTGAGAAATGCTAAGCGTGTTCTTTCCTTTTGATTTTCTAACTCCAGGTCTTTGCACAGTGATCTATGTCTGCTTATAAATGAAACCCAAGATGCCTAGGATTATCAATACAAAAACAATCTGATACCAAATATCTTCTTACTGAGTTGATTCCGTCTCATATCCAACCCGTAGGCAGAGCATAACTGACCCAAAGTGTTTCCAAAGATGTACTTTAGTAGGTAGTGTTTTGTTCTGTTGTGCATAGAGTCACTATGAGATGAAGCTGACTCAATGGTACCTAACAACAACAATATTCCAAGACAGATTGCCTCATCTTTCTCCCATGGGGCAGCTGGTGGATTTGAACTGCTGGCCTTTCTGTTAGAGACAAGTGCTTAACCACTGCTTCACCAAGGGTCATGTATAACAGGACTTCTTGTTGTTAAGTGTCTGAAAGTCAGTTCCGATTCATACAGCCTTGCATAGGGTTTCCAAGGAGCAGTTGGTGGATTTGAACTGTCAACCTTGTGTTTAGCAGTCGAGTGTCTATCCTACAGGACCACCAAATAATCATGGGTGGCAAAAAAGGTAGTTTGATTTTGTTGTTGTTGTTGTTTCTTTTAAAGAGCCAAGGAAAACAATTAGACCAATAAAAACATTAGTTACTCCCTATACATTTTGGAAATGAATGCTACTTTTTAAAGTTTAAGAGGCTATCTGGTCATAAATATTTCAAATAGCACACTATTCATTCAAGTCAATCAATAATACAGTATAACCTGAAGCTAAGTTACCAATGAGAAGAAATGGACTCACTATTTCCCACTGAAATCCATATCAAAAGGTTTGGGTTTGCCAATAACAAGATAACTTATCTTCCTTTTTATAACAATATCATTTATTTACTTGAATGTTTCTAAAGCAATAAGATGTTGTCGTTAAGTGCCGTCGAATTGGTTCCGACTTATAGCAATCCCTTATAAGGTTTCCAAGGAGTAGTTGATGAGTTTGAACCACTACCTTGAGGTTCAAATCTACTTTGTGGTCCAGTGCTTACCTTACAGTGCCACACCAGGACTTCAATAACATGTTACAACTCATTAATTCATAGAACAGAAAAGTTAACATTTACTGACGTCTCTTGAAAATGTGCTATAAACCCTATAAATATATATATATATCTATTTAGAGAAAGAGAGAGAGGATTTGCCATTCTCACACTCTGTTTTCCTTAACTTGACAGGAAGCCAACTTCAAATGGATTGATGTGAGTCAGGATTTCATTTGGGAAACCCAAGTGTCCAATAAACGTCATTGCTTTTTCATTGGAAAATCCTCACGTTCTAGCGACTCATCACTGAAACCCTGGCGATCCCATGTGGACTTCTGGTAGAATGAGCAATGCAAAGCGCTGGCTTGGACTTGGCATGTCCTTGTACCTCTGGGGATTGATGGACCTGACATTTGCCACTCTCTCAGGCACACTGACAGCACGAGGCCAACTGGAGGCAGACAAGCCACAGTCCCACCAGCGGACAAGGAGGAGCTGGGTTTGGAACCAGTTTTTTGTTCTGGAAGAGTACACTGGGACGGACCCTTTGTATGTTGGCAAGGTAAGAGCCACCACATAGGAAGAGAAATTATTGGAGTCCTCGCTGTTTATGGAAGCTTACCCAGCCTGCATCTGAGGCCTGAGAGAGGTTTTAACTCCTGGCGTTATTTGAAGTTTTGCTTTGTCAGGTGCCGAGACAAAAGGGTAGACTCCTTTCCTTGCTCATGCCTCTGCTGCGAGTGGAAAAAACAGGAAGTGGGTTTTGGAGGAGAAGCCTTAGACCCTGGGAGAGCCCTTCAGTCCTCAAAGAGGTGATAACAATCTGGGAAATGACAGGATGGGAAAGAAAGCAATTGGGACTTGCTGGGGGACGGAGAGTTTGTATTTGCTATGTTCCTTGTGGTTTTTTTGTGTTGATTTGGTTTGGTTTGGTTTTTCCCCCAAAGCAGTTCCACAGGTATTGCCTGAGGCCTAAATTTAATGGGGGGGAAAAGGGATAAAGCATTCTTCATTTCAGGAGCTCTTACCTAGCAGATATTTTAGGACCCACTAGAGACAAACAATGAATATATTTATAGACTTTATACAAGAATTCCCTTGATTTATCTGTCATCATTTCATTTTTAATCCAGACTTTCTTCTGTGTTTACTTTCTTTGGATGTTAATCAGAGGCCATTTTGTGAAACCACCCAGTGAGTGAAGATGGGAAACAAGGAGCTAATTAGAAAATTAAAAAATGCATTCAAATGATAACATGAAGACTCATTTTGCACAGAGGTTAAGAGCATGGGCTTTGAGTCAGACAAATGTGGGTTCAAAGACCAGCTCTGCCAGCTACTTCAAGAGTGACTCTGGACAAGTTCCAAAGTGCTTTGAGGCACCGTTCCATGTAACGTCAAATGGGAATTTGTTGTCAGATGCTGTGCAGGTGATTCCAATGCATAGTGATGTCATGGGACACAGGAGAACTACCCGTATGCTTTGCTCCCACAGAGCCGCCGGGTGGGTTCAAAGTGCCAACCTCTTGGTTAGCAGCTGAGCACTTAGTCATCACATTACCAGGGCTCCTTCAAATGGGGATATAAGAATACTTTTAGTCCTCAAGAGCTCTCTGCACAGGTTCGACGGTCATTCACATTTTAACCCAGCTATCTGACTTCCGTCCCCAGCTTTGCATTAAAGGCATGCTTTCTTTGCTCCTAAGAATCTCCCTACACCCAAATGCTATGGTTTTATCTATGAATCCTCTTAACAGAAGCCCTGGACATTGTTGACCAGTGCTGTCTCTCAGCTTCATGACCATCACAGTTCCTGGGTTTCCTCCTTCCTTCTCAGTCTCTTTTGCTGTCCTCTCCCTCCAGGACCCCCATCATTAGTGGTCTTGGAACCTTCACCTGGCTTTCATCTCCAGTGCTTGCTCCCTGAGTAGACTCACCATCCCTGTGTGTGTTTATACACCATCTCTATGCCAATGGATATAAAACCTCCATCTTTGTCAGAAGCGACTCATGTATCTGACTGCTGTGCGTTTATGACTCATAGGCATCCCAAGTATGGTGTGACCAACAAGGAACTCTTGTTTCTCTTCCCAAACCTATTGGGAGCCCTGGTGGCTCCCCAGATAAGCGTGGCCATCCACTATTTACTAAAACCAGAAACCTTTCCCTGACTGCCCACATTCTTTCCATCTCAAATTCTGTTTATTCTGTGCCAGAACTCAACTCCCAAGCCCTTCACTGCTATTCACTCCACTCGCAGCATTGTCTCCCATCTGAGCAAATACATGGCCTCCCAGCTGGTCTCCTCACTCCCACCTCCCTGTCTTCCCATCAAGATCTCCATACATGATCTTTTTAAAAATGTTAACCACATCATGCCTCACCTCTAAAACTCCTCCAAGCCTTCCCATTGTGTTTTTAATCACCCACACTCCTCACCGCTACACAGAAGGTTTTTCCGTCTGACGTAGCCTGCCTTCCCACCACATCTCTCAGGTTTCAGGAATGTGGTCTCACTCAGTTCCTAGAATTTGCTGAGCATTTGCCATTACTGTCCCCATAATGAAAGGACTTCCCCCTGACTTCTCTCATGATTGCCTCCTCCCCTTCCTTTAAGGTTGACTATTGACCCACCCTGACCATTCTCCTCCAAGGTAGCCCCTCTGTTAAACTCTGTCACCGCCGTTACCTTCTTAATAGCTTGAATCACAACTTCCAGTATTTGGTTTATTTATTTGCATACTTAATGTCTGAGCCCCTGGTTAGACTCTAGGTTCTATGAGGACAAGGACCTCACTCCCATGTTGTGCCCAAGGCCTAACCCAACACCTGGTACAAAGAAGATGCTCAAAAAGCTACTTAATGAATGGGCAGAAACGGACACTCATGATCAGTAAGGATTCAGTACGTGAATACATGTCAACCTCTTAGCACAGTGCTTGGTCCAGAGTAAGTTCTTAACAGTTATTGCCCAGGAGCAGTGGTGCTGGTATACTTAGTAGCAGTACAATAAAATCTCCACATGTACCAAAAAAGTTGTATAAAGCAGAAACTTGTTGGAGTAGAAAAACTCTAATGTTTTCCACTGAAAAGAACAAATAGAAAAGTGGAAAGAGTCCACCTGTCAAAGGCAGGAAATGTGTGAGAACCAGAAAAGCAAGCCAGTCTCGTTGAGTTGAGTTCCAGCTTCCGTAGGTTTTGTTGTAATGGTGGTAGCATCATCCGCAGTGCATGATGGGAATGTAGCAGCTTAGTAATACATAACGCAATGCAGCTATCCATCCCTTGGCCTCAAATACTGTGAGTTTTCTGTCTTCTCCCTTTCCTTCTCTTTCTTCCTTCCTGTACAGTCAGTTGGCACTTCCTGTCAAGATTTCCTTTTCCATTTCCCTCAGATTCATTTCTTCCTCAGTCGACTCTCTGTCCTTCCCATGGTCTTGATGATTAGATTAGCTCAGCAGGCCCTGCCCATCTCCCTATGGAGAGCTTCTCTCCCCAACCCTCCCTGAGGGCTCTGGACATTTGTCTTCTTGAAGCTCCCCTTCCATCATGTTGCTCCTCTGATTACGAAGTTTCCGCTCCTCTCAAATGCTTCATCAGTGCTCCTTGCATAAAGTTTAACGGTTTCCAGCAGATGAGTCCTCCTCCTTCATCTAGCCCTCTGCCACACTGGGTCGCCTTAGTAGCCCCCAGCACAATCCTCATCTGTCCCTACCTACCCCAGACATGTGCCAGGATAGGCTGTCCCCTCCTCTCTGTTTTGGATGGTTATGTGCCATGGAGTCGATTCCAATTCATAGTGACCCTGTACAGGGTTTCTGAGGCTGTAAATCTTTATGGGAGCAGAAAGCCTCATCTTTCTCCTGCAGAACAGCTGGTAGTTTCGAACTGCTGACCTTGTGGTTTGCAGCCCGATTCGTAACCACTATGCTACCAGAGCTTTCAGATCCTTCAAGTCATCCACTTAAATGCCACTTCCATCATGAAGACATTTTCTACCCACTCAAATTCTCAACGACTTCTAGCTACTCCGTATTTGTAAAATACTTCCAATTAGACACGCAGCTCCTGCTAATACAAAGCTTAACAAGAGAATGGATGTATTCAGCAATAGCTTTGTGCGCATGTCCAAGTTAGGGCTCTCTTTCTCCCTCCCAAAGGTAAAGCCTGAGGCACCTTACTGCATGTCTCTAACATGGAGTACTGAGCACAGAACTGCACACACAGAAGTGAAGGGTACGCTGTCATTGGGCCGCTACAATACTATGCGTCAGTCACCATCACAGAAAGCAGACCACTGAGCCATTGGAGCAGAGCTGTGAGATGAGAATTCACCACTTTTGGGTCCTTAGCCTGGGGGACTAGACTCAGAGCAGTCTGGTCATTGGCCAAAGCTACACAGAAAGTGACAAGAAAAGTCAGCATAGAAGCAACCATCCCTTTGACCCTGAAGCCATACTGCCCTGCATGTGACCAGTGAGAGAAAAGTGGCAGGTGGGTATCTGGGATCTAACCCAGCCTGACTGCTTCCTGAGGCTTCTACTTCTGTCATTTGGGGTCCTTGGCTGTGTAGCACTCTCCAGTTCTCACAATTAGTCACCTCAACCCAGGCTGGAGGACAGCCGGGGCATCTAGTCAACCAGACACCAGCACCCAGTGTCAGATTTCCCCCCATGAAGATGATAATTGCACATTCCCTTCCCCAGCCACTTTCCTCCCTTTACTTTCTTTTGAAAGAGAACTTATCTACCTCGTATTCCCTCTACCCCTGAGATCTTCAGCCTGTCACAATGAGCTCCAGAAGATGTCTGTTTAGAGAGCCTGCCAGAGTATTTGCTTATTTCAGAAAGGAGTCTGGCGACAATTATCAGCTGTAATTGGTGTGGCCTTATAAAATCCACACCGGGCTTCCAGGGACAAGGGAGTGCTGAGGAGCTGAGATTATGTTGACATATGCGAAGAGGGGGATGCTGAGAGCTTGTGCTTCCAACTCACACTGAGGGGAGCAACCATGCGGAAGCTGGCTGACCACAAATTATAGGCATTGACTACCTTCCCGGAACAACACAATGTACGATGACCAAGTGACTGAAATTCACCATTGTTTTCAAAATCCTAAATCAATGACGATTTTTCATAATTGGAATGTACTTGCCATCATTTGCTACTCCTCTGACTGAAGATTCTAAAAACTAAAGAATTATTTGAATAAGTGTGATTATTTGTCTTGTCTTACTCTGTATGGGAGATTTTGAGGGGAGTTGGGCAGGGGATGTTTTTCCAAGAATGAACATAACTATGTCATTTCTGCCCCAGAAGGTCTTCACCTTTCTCAGAACAGCTGATGCTCAGTCAGGGTTAATTTGTGTGGCACTGTAGGATCAGCACTGGACTACAAACCCCAAGGTCGTCAGTTCAAACCCACCAACTGCTCCTTGGAAGCTCTATATAGGCTCAGAACTGACTCGATGGCACTTAACAACACACGTATATAGATTTGTATTAGACTGCCAATTAGCTGAGTGATTTGGAGCAAAACTATTAGTGTCTTTTCTTTGCAAT